ACAAATATTTACTAAAGTAATGGACCTTTAAAAAAATGTTATTTTTGTAATTTTTTTTTTATAAAAAATCCCCATGTCCAATAATAATAAAAACGTTTTAGTGTTTTTTTGGGCCCAAAACATAACTCAATGGCAAATGATGTAAATAAATTGATCATTAATGGTATTTTCGGCAAAGCAAGTCTTAAACTCGCTGTGAGACCGCCACATAGGATTTTGACCTCACAATTATATATATAGATTTTTAATTTTATACTTAGAAAATTTGAAAATATGTATTTGTTTTGATGTTATTATATAATTATGGTTGAGAATTTTTGTTAATTTTTTGTCAACAATATAGTTTTTGTTAACAATATGAATTTTAATCAGTTTAGTTTCTGAATTTTATTATTTTATGTACATAAACATGTCAAATCAAATTTATCAATTTTATAATAATTTAATACATTGAGGTTCACAATCTACTAAAAAAGGTTGAGATTCTTGTCATAAAAGATTGAACATCCTATTTGATCATGTTTTTAAGAAAATCAATTTCTTCACATTGAACTAAATTTTTAATAAAAACTGAATTTAACATCGAAATATTAAAAAAATTAATATTAGCAATTCTTCGTAAACAAAAAAAAAATTAATAATTTTTTCATACAACATAAACCAAGTACTCTACCTTTTCTTCTTCTTTTGTTTTTCAAACAATTGTTCTTTTCTATTTTTCTTATTGTTAATGTCAGTTACACTTAAATGATTTTTTTATTTATATGAGAGAATTAGGAAAATAAAAGATTTAGAGATCCATTTCACTCATTGAAATATTTACTATAGTATGGCCTTTTTTATTTCAGATTGAAATTTACGTAGTTTTTTTATTAAAAAATAAATATAATATGACAATGTTAAACTGATTTTTTAAATGTAAAAGGTGGATATTACCATTTTAAATATTAGCATATAAAAATATGTAATCGTTGATTTAAAAAAAATATATATAATTATATTTAATGTAAAAATATAGAATTTATCTTAAATTATTTTGTTATTTTTGAATTGGCTTGTGTTAGAAAGTAATTTTTCTTAAGAATATGTATACTTTTTTCATAAATTTGGAATGTTTTTGTCACAAAATATAATAAAAACTCTTTAAAAAAATAGTTAAGTCTTTATTCTAAATTTCTATAAAAATATATTTATATAAAAAATGTTCTAAAACTTTATTGTGACAAAAAGTTAATTTTAAAATTTTTTGAATGAAAAACGAAAATATTGTAAAATATTGATTAATATGAAAAAATATAAATTAAGTTATAGAAGATTTTGTAGAAGATGTTGTTATGATTCACATTTGACATGTCATATTTTTTTAAGCTATGTCATATTAAAATTGGTAAGAGTGATTTTAATGATGACATGTAAGTAAATTTGAAAAAATCACTTTTTAAATAATATATAAGAGATGAACTGTGAAAAACTGTTTGGCAAACTAACGTTCAACATTGTTCAACGAGACCTCCTCATCATTTTCCTTAAAATTGACATGGGATACAAATGTAAGCCAATGGTACTCCAATAAATTTGTCTTAATGGATAAAGCAATTTTTAATAAACACTTGGCTAATTGCATAATCACATATCATTGACGTGTGTCTAG